CCCCCCCCCCCCCCCCCTCCTCCCACGCCTCAGCCCTTGGGCCGATTTTTCCCGAGGCCGCCCTCTCTCGCCGGGCGCCGAGATCGGGCACATGCCCTTTTGCCCCCCGGGGGAGACCAGGTGTACTTTCTTCCCCCTTTGGCCGATGGGCGGACGCTCAAGCACGGCAAGCCGCAGGCACATGCGCCTGCGGGCGGCCTGGCACCTCTCTGGGATGTCCCCCCCGGACTGCGGTGGGAACATGCCACCGTGTCAAGGGCAGGCCCCAGTGCAACAAGAACCCGGGCAAGAGAGCCGCATACACAGGAGGCGATATTGGGTGCCCGAGCGCGGGAGGAACACGGACGACACACAATACATGCACAAGCACAAACAACAGTTGGGGGATTTTTTTTCGGGGGAGGGAAGGACAGGGAGAGAGTATGTGTTTTGGGAGGAAGAGGAGGGAGGGGACATCGCCGGCGCGGCTGACGACGGCCAGGGCACACGCATGCACACGAGGGATGAGGGCAAGGGCCAGCACGAGGAAGGGGAGACGATGGGTGGAGGCGTGGCCTGGGCGCCATATGGGGGCCATGTGACACAACATCCGTCCCCCGCACACACACACACACACACACACACACACACACACACACACACGGGCCGAACAAATACAGATGCGCGGGGGCACGCGCATGTAGATGCATCTACACACGCAGCATGTGCACATTAGAGCACGCACGGGTATGTACATGTGGATGTGGATGCGAATGTGGATGAGGATATATATATATATATGGCATGCACATGCGCGGGCGAGTGTATGTATGTGTGTGTGTGTGTGTGTGTGTGTGTGTGTGTGTGTGTGTGTGTGTGTGGACACGCTTCCCTTTCTCGGGCTTTCTTTTCTCCCGCTTAGCGAGAGTATCCCGGGGCATTGGTCGGCGGCGCGGACAGGTGCGACGGCGGCTGGCCGGTAAGGGCCGCGGTGGAGGCCGACTCGGAGCCGAAGCGCTTCTGGAAGTAGTTCTGCTCCATGAGCTGGGAGTTCTGCCGGACCATGCGACGAATGTTCTTGTCGACCACCGACAGGGGAACCATCTCGTCGGTGTCGAACTGGCGGAACATGTGCTGCTGGGGGCCGGCGGCGGCGGCGGCGGCGGCCGGGTGGTGGCCGGCCTGAACGGCCGCCACGACCGGCTCGGCCGGCTCCACATCCATCGGCGAGTCCGCCTGCATGATGTCGTCGGTGCTGCTGTTGTAGACCGATGCGCCGGAGGAGCCGCTGGAGCTCAGGCCATCATCGATGAGGTGGCTCATCATCCGGTCACGGCGCTCCAGAAGGAGGTGGTAGAAATTGGTCACCACATTGGGGACAGTCTGGTCATTTTGCTGGAGCAGCTCGCGGCCCTGGACCGGGTCCACGCCGTAGGTGAGCAGCTCGGCGAAGATCTCCTCATCAACCTTGGTGATGGGGCCGCGCTCGAGCATGTACGTGGGCGGCGGGCCGTCGTAGCCCTCGCTCAGCCACGGGTGCGTGCGGAGGGTCTCCATGGTGAGGCGCTCCTTGGGGTTGACACGGATGAGGTTGCCGATGAGATCCTTAGCGACTATGGTGTGGAGATTGGGGGTGGGTGTTGGGGGG